TTAAGTTTGAACATTTTATGTAAAATCAAAAACCAGCTCTCCTGGATAAAAGCTTTTTGAGAACTATTAAAATTGCACCAATAATGTTGATGTGTTTCTCCTAAAGCAGTCTTCTTGGTGTCATTTGGTAATAGAATGTGCAAGCAATTTCAAAAAGCTTTGAGCCAGTAATGTAGTATAATGATAACTAGCACCATTCCGTGACTTTGCAATTATCTGAAACAGAACAGCTCAATTTCTTTCTTTTTTAATGAGCTTCTTTCTGCTTCTTGGCTCACACATTAACCTTTCATACTTATATATATATATATATATTTTTTTTTTTCCATTTTTAATTCTGAATCGAAAGATGGAACTCTTCTGAACTATTTCCCTGAGCATATTGGTTTAGTTTCAAGCTTGTGTTCAAAACCTTTCTGAGGTTTTGATGAGTCCTGGTTCAATGATCAGTGTGTTCTCTTTCTCTATTCATTCACATCTGCATTGCTTTTCAAAGTGAGATCAATCAGTGTTACGCATTTTCATAAATATTTTTTATTCTAAATAACAACCCTCATCTTGCTTTTTTGATTACAGTGAAATGCTGATTTGGGCCCTTTAAAATGCATTAATGGCTACCAGATTTGCATTTATATTGGATTTTTGCTCAGGCAGACAAGAACCTGAGATAGAGTTTTGCAAACAAAGACCAAACAGAAAGCATGCATCATCTGAAACACATTCGACCCCATAATAGAGTACAAGCAAAAGAACGAGAGATGCTAGTGTGAGCAGTACAGGCCACCGAATTTTTAACTCTGAGAAAAACACACACCTTATTCAGATCAAGCCTGACACAATGATGATATGCAGCTTGAAGTGAAAGTAGCTATATTGTGACTGATGAACACTATATCGAGATACATAAAAGATAAAAAAAAGAAAAAAGAATGTGACATGGAGACTGAAATCAAATGGAATAGAGTCGTTACTATTACTCCCACAAAAATAATTTAAAAAGTTCTTTAAAAGAGAAATTTAGAGATAATAAAACTGGTGCTTTGCAGTCTCCTTTTCCCCCTGGAAGTAAGAGTGACATTTTCAGACTTCTACACAAAATGCTGGAACCTTTTAATTCAGCCCTTATTTGTTAAACAGGCACATTGCCAATGTTATTAAAGATGGGGCAGATTTGTTTGCCGCTGATCAAGTTGGCATTGTCCATACGTCGTTCCTCGGGGGTAATCTTTCTTGATAAGTGAACCCAAAAGGAATGGATTCTTTGTCTCTATGCGAATCTGATTCAACCACTTGCCACCACTAAATCATTGAGGCAGTGAAAGCCCCTGGGGAAATTTACAAAGCGATTCAGTCCTCATTGGTTGTTAGACGAGAGCATGGCGGCACAATCATGCACCAGGGAGGACTAAGGGTATGTATGATTTCATTCCAACCAAACTCCACACCAGCTGATGTCACAGATTTCTTACCCTTCAATGCACTCTTACCCTTCAACACATCTTGAACCCTTCAGTGGTTCAGGATGTATTAATCTTTCAAATGAACTGGTGTCTGAGCTTTGAAGAAAAATCCTTTAAGAATTGCTTACTTGAAAATTAAACTCATTTTCATCTTAAAACTGTTTTTATTTGCTTCACCAGAGAACAGTGATTGTCATGACTGCCAAGAGTTTTCCTAGTGAGAGGCTACACAGTCAGAGAGATGAATTTAGTGCTACAATAGAAACAAAAAAAGTCCAATCTTGCCTGTAAAGTGCATTTGATGAGTACTTTATAGACCAGAAAGGGGAGATTAGACCAGAGATTCTTTAATCGGATTATGTAAATAACGAATCGATGAGCAATCAGCAAATGCCTCAAAATGCTAAACCTTTCAGTGCTTGGTGCTTTTGCTTGAACTGCAGTTTGTACCGTAGGAACTAGTGTTGACATGGGTGAGAAATTCTATCGATGAGGGTGACTGGCACTTACAACTAGATAACATCTCCATGGCAAGCAAAGCAAAGTGGATTGTTTGCCTTATTGTGATTCCAGTTAAATCAGAAACCAAACTGGAAATTTGCAGTCTAATTCTATCTCTATAGTGTTAAACATTATTCAAATGCATTGGATATTTGTGCAACAGTGTCAAGTCACAAAGTCCAGTATAGACCAGGGGCTGTAGCAAGTTGCTAAGAAATATGGAGAAAAAAAGTTCAAAACAAGGTGTTGAAAGAACTGTCACAGCATAAGGAAATTCATATTCTCAACTTTCATTTCTATGTAGCTCTGAGATACCAGCCTAAAGTGGGATTAAGAAAAAATTGTTCTGAGAAGGAGAGGTTTTAGTCGTTAAGTTTTATACCTCTGATTGATTTAAACTGTGTAATGGATTCTGTTTCAGACTCAGAGCTGCATAGTGGCACACTTGTTAACACTACTGCAGCAAGAACGTCCTCTGTTTCATGCCCAACAAGGTTAGGCAAACATGTCTTTCTCAGTTGCTCTGAGGCGTGCACGCGTTTGTGTACATGTAAGTATGTGTGCATGCATTGTTGTCTTTTCTGTGTCTCTGAGTTGCCCTTTGATGGATTGATGAGCTGACCTTGGTTTCCAGTAATATTTGAAAAGTTTGAATATTACTGAAAAGTTTATTTATTTCAGTAACTTAATTTACTAAGTGACACACACTGTATAGATTTATTTAATTGGAACTGATGTTTTCAAGCCTTTGTCGCTGTTAATTGTGATGTATTTCTCCTTACAGTTGATGAAAACATGACTTTCAATATTTTAATATTATATCAGACCGACAAATATATTTTATTTCATTACAGAAATGCGGGCATAGAAAAAAGTAAATATCAAGTTAAAGGTACTTTTAATCAGACTTCAACTCTAAATCTGATCCCATCTGAAGACAAATGACATAATAAATATGAACAGAAATTACAAGTATTTTGTTCGCAATACTTTTGTTCATGTTCTTTATTGACCATCCAAGCAAAGATATGTTTTTAAAATAAAATGCCTGCAAGTAATTTCTATTTTACAAACATCTATTTTGTAACTTATAAAATGTTATAAACTAAGCACTGAACTGTTGCACTTCAATTAATCAAAAAGCTGCTGTTGCTGCTTTTTTATCTTGTGTTTTATGTGGACATAACACTGAGGAAATGAAGCAGATTGATATGGACTTTCAAGTCATGTCCTATGATTATTTTCGTTGATATAATCCTGTTTTCCATGGTGCTTTTGCAGTAAGATGTATGGTGTGGAATTCACAATGTGGCACTTTGTGAATTCCATAAAGTGCCACAGTGGCACTTTTCAGCTTCTTACTTTTCAGAAGACAGCTTATTTAGAATGCACACTTTATGAGTACCTCAAGTAGTCAAATAATCATTTGGTAAATGAATCAGAAAGTTTGTAGAAGTGTTGTTAGTGCAAAGATTCAGCCAGATAAAGAAAGTCATAATTAATGCAAACACAGCATTTCCATGGTAGGATAAGATAAAGTGTTATTAGGAAATTGAGGCAGCATTTGTTATTGACATAGTCAAAAACATGCGGAATAGCCGGGCTTACTGGAGATCATATTGCAAATGCCACTGGAGCATTATTTAGTTTACGTGGCATATTTGTAATTCCCATTGAAAAGCAATGTAGGGATCTTTCTGAGAACTGTTCAGCAAGGTGAGCTGAGCAGTGGATACATGGTGTGATTGTATAATATAAGCTATGGTCTTCTTAATAAGTTCATGTCTACATGCCAGGTGATTTTCTCTCATGTGGGTATGTCACTGCGACTTTTTGCTAAATGGTTTTAGTCACTTCGACACAATAAAAGGTTTTCAACAGGTTCCTCAAATGGCATCCGAGCTCCAACATGTCTGTTAGTTCTGCTTGTGCCAGAAGTCGGCAAGAAGTAGGACAGTGGTTAGGACATCAGCAGCATCAGTTTGCTACTGGTGACATAGGGCAATTGACTTTAACATTGTGGCCAAATGGGAAAGAAGGAGGACACACCTTTAGACAGATCATGCATCCACCTCAAGGCAACACAGAGGCACACAGGACAGACAACCAAGTGCAAGCAAACTTTGTGTGGCCAATTTATTTATCGGGCATTTTTGATGACGGAAAGAGGAACCAAGAGTAGGTATTTTTTTAAATCATTTTTCAATTTTTTAATGTGGACTGAACTTCGATCGCACAAAACTAAAAGTCAGTAAAATTTCACTTGAAAAGTGGAAACCTTCATTTAAAATATACCAGAAATGTTGTTACAAATTTTCTGAGGAAAAAGACAAACTACTTTTGTAGAAAAATACTTAATGCTGTCTTTCCTTGGCAATTTTTCAAGAAATAAAAAATGTGTTGTCTAAATAATTATCATAAGACTTTCTCAATCTGGGTAAAAGTTGCAAGTTTAGTACTTTATATGTCCTTGCAGATATCATTAAATCATTTTTTGCACCTTCCCTCTAAATAAAGTGCGCAAAATTTTTTTCCACATGCATTACATACTAACAGTTTTGTTGGTTTATGTTAAAGTATTACTCACAGGTATTATTGGCACAAATATCCTGGTTTGTTATCTCTTAACACAAAAATTTACTCAAAGAACTGTTTGCTTTAGAAGAACTAAAGAGGTAATTGTATTTTAGTATGTTTTGAATGCATAAAACATCCTCTGACTCATGCATGAAAAGTCATTATGAATTAATTAAAATAACTTTTGCTAATTATTTTTACTAAACACCAGCTGTTTATGGAGGAATAAGATTCACGTATCCAGGATAATACTAACTGTACAGAGAGTTCGTCATTCTGCTCAAAAGATTTCACAGGACCAAAACAGACGCTATATAAATATAAAAGTGTGTGTAAGAGGTTAAAGCTATACACACTTCAGCTTTTTGCAACTATATGCTCTTAAAATAGATAAACCATTAAAACAGACATTCTCCTAAAAAGCATGAGTGGCATCAGCACGCAGGCTAAAAGTGAACTCACCTATAAATTTTATATCTGGTTGTAAATCCTTGGCGGAATCTTTCCACAAAGGACAGATATCTCCGAGAGTGGTGGAAAGGTCCACGGTCAGAGATGAGCCAGTCATATTGCTTGGTGACATGTTGTTCAGCAGCCAACAGGTCCTGGCGGGTAGACTGAACTGTTATATGGTCCCATATAAACAGGAAGCAGATGACCTCAATAAACCTCCAGTTCATGCTTTTTTTTAAGCCGCTCTCTGTTCATTCTCGCTCCATTATGTGGAGACCTGATGGGATAGAAAAGAAGGAAGGGAGAGAAGGGTAGGGATGCACAAAAAAAGAGCTGTTATATGACAAAGTCTATTTTAGCAGTACAAGAAGGTCCAAGAGTTAGGTTAATTGTCTCCTGCTGAACAAATAAAATGGTGCCCTTGTCACTGTCGCTTTACTGTGACACGGAATGTGCTTATTTTTTGACTTTCTCATATTGTTCAGCAAATATTCTTGTCTGCAGTATTCAGAAACAAATGTCGCTGCAAAGAATGGGTGTTACTCTTTTGCAGATCAGTATGTGGTTCACCCTCAGCTATCAGGGCTGTCTGTTTGTAATTGGTGTCATGATAAGCTCTGACAAGGTTAGAGGATGGCTTTATGATATGTTATGACACTCTACAGCCACTAATGTGGAAAAAACCCATCTCCCCTTACTCAGTGGTGTCAATTACTACTGGAGGAAACGTTCATCTTTTGACATTGTTGTTGAACCTATCCATGCCTGGATTGGCCAACTAGCACACAACCCAGAAAATATTTTAGTATCATTGTCTAATCTTGACTATGTGTTCATTAACAGCTAGATGAAAGAAATACTATTCTTAAAAACATTTTGTCACTCAGTGGAATCTCACAATTTCTTCAAGTTAAACTGTGACAAAGAGAAAGTACACATCTAATAATGATATGTCAGATAAAAGATTTTCATCAGTAGTATAATTCTAGTTCTAAGGCCCCTGGGTGCAGAACAGCACTGCATGTTATCAAGTGCTGCTGGTTGCATAAGATGCTCCAATTTTTATGGCTCATTAGACAATAAAACATCATAAAAAAGCAAGAAAAATTTGATGAAGCTAATCTTTCTGTTAAGTACAAGAGGAATTGTTGACATATTGTTGGAGAAGATCCTCTTTCGTCACATCACAAAATTGATTCAATTAGTACCATTACCTCTTATTAATAATATAAACATAAAGGTTCCCCTTTCACTCCTACATTTAAAACAAAATTCAGTTTTTAATCTGATTTATTTAAATTTGGCTGTCAGAAAATGTCAATTGACAGATTAAGTAAATATGAACCTACCAGTAATTCTAAACTTTATTTATTTGCATTAACAGAGCAGATGTTTGTACTTTAAAACAGTGAAACATTACAATGCTTTTTTTCTGCATTTTAATATCACATAATAGATAAAAAAAAAGGGAACAAAAAACAGAATACCAATGATAATGTCATTTCGATATTCATTTGAGTCAGTGTTAAAAAGCCATTAATGTGCTTGGTACACTATTAAGACTTGTTTATGAGTTTAAGGACTAAATAAAGACTGTTTTGAAAGACTACTAAGCCAACCTGCTGCTCCAGATTGCTTTGTAAAACACAGCCGTCTGGCAAAACATTTTTCGAAACTATTTGGAAAAGGGCAGGCACTTAAAAAATAATATTGGCAGGTGAAAGAATGAACACTTTTATTATTGCCATCAATTAATGTTTAACACTTAAATTTCAGCCAGCACGGTCAATAAAGTGGTGTCGGTTGCTAACATCACATTCTTGCCAAAGCACTTAGTGGAGATGTGCAAACTATCTTTTTCTACAGAGAGTTAATGTTTGGACTTCACACACAAAACATGCTCTCTGCATCTAACATTAGTGGAGTAGGTTCATCGACACTGATCTTTTCAAAAACCATCCAGACATAAAAGCTGTTGCAGATAGATGACCCAAGGCAAAAAAAAGCCCCTACACATATGACTGAAAGAGGTCTGATAATAAGCAACACTGAGTTACTGAATGATATAAGCAGCCTTTGTGGAAATTAACAAATAAAAATGTAAACTAAAAGAAACAAACTAAGAATGTTAATTGCAACTTAGAAGTAAAATGTCAGCAATCAAAAACATCAAAACAAAAATAAGTAAAACCATAACGAATAGAATCTAAAAGTAATGACACTGAAAACAAACAAAAGATAACTGATAATGTTGCTCTTTTGTCACTTCTGTTCTTTTATATTATTGTTTTGTGCCTGACTTTTTTCAAGTACATAGCCAAAAGCTGCAAGGAAAGGCCTTGTGTCTCGTTGTGTCTTTAGGAAAGACAGTGAGTTGGATGGAGCATGAATTGAACCGGCACCCAACCAATTTTGGGATGAACTCCTATCACCGCAGGAGTGGTCCATTGCTTTCAGACAATTAAATTGACTATTGTTTAGACTTAACTGTCAGAAATCTGAAGCACATGGTTGTTTGGTTGTCTGAAGCAATTGGATTTTTTTATTTTTTTTTTCACTTCTGGTGCATTTAGAGGTTCAGAAATATGTCTGTATCTAAAGTTATCAGTGCATTTTGAAACAAGGTTGTGAAGGCGTTGAGGGAGCAAACTCTTGAAATTGAGATATGCACAACATCTTTTTATAGGCCATTGATTCACATTTAACCAGCTGATATTAATATGCTTTGATGGGGGCAGGATATCTGTATTTGCTTATGAGGCAGACATCCGGTCTCCACTTCAAACCAAACTTAAAAGTTTTCTCTTTGATGGAGCTTATAGTTACAGTGACTTCAGTTATTATTGCTATGTTTCTGAAACAAAATGTTTAATGTTCTCTCTCTACAGATGCTATAATTTGCCCTTTTTAACCTTTTCACTCTTGGATAAATTGCCAAAAAGAATCATTACTGCCCCTAACTGTATGTTGTTGTTTTTTAACTACTGAGTCTGCATAGCTTTGTTATCTGCTCATGCAGGACAAGGGATTGCAGCACAGAGTCTGTGACTTGTTGCAGTTAGTTGGGTTTATGGAAATCCAGCCAAATGCAATGTAATACACAAAACACTTTTTTCTTTTGCCAAATGGCATAATAAACTGTTCTTCACTTCATTATAATTGCAACTGTGAAATATATAATTGATTTTAATCTAGCTAAATGACCACTTGGGTCTGGTCTTCTCTGCATCCCTAGAATCAGAATCAAACATGGAGAAGTGGCAGTCAGCTTTTATGTTCCTCAAATCTGGATCAAACTTTGGGAAAAGTACACAACAGCTGAAACTCTGGTCTCCTTTAAATCAAGACTTAAAACCAAACTGTTTAGAGTTGTCTTCGGTTATCAGTAAGTGGAACATTGATCAATATATTTCATGTATATTTATTTGATTATTTTCATGATGGCATTTGATAAAATGCTACCAACTTGAATTGACACAAATCAAGTCAACACCTCTTTTGTGCAACACAAAAGAGCTGCAACACATATTTTGTTTTGACAAATCAAAACAGGTGTTGCACAGGTGTTGATTAAAATAATTGTTATATTATAAAACAACATTCAGTTTGTCTGCACAACAAAAAAGAAAAAAAATGTATAGCTATAACTAATGTATTTTTTCTTGTCAAACAAGATGTCCTAATTAGAGAAAAGAATGACAGATGACCAAAATGGATATAGTTCTGATAAACTGCCTATAAAAAAAGAGAACCCCCTTTTCTCTAAATCAATGCACTTTAGCAAAAAAGCGCTGTCCATAACAAGCTGGATGATGGACTATTTTGGGGTTGGAGCCATGTGGAGCATAAAAGCAGCAGCAGAGCTAGAAATGGGCAAGCATTAGAAATCAAAAACATTTTTCTTTTCCAGTTAAAAGATAGATTCAACTCCGAGAGACTCTTGCAGTTTAAATGAGGAAGGTTCCAAGAGATGCAGTGAAGCTTTTAGTACACAACACATGTTTCTTATGAAAACTAAAAGTCCAAATGCAGGAAGTGCTGAGTCACAGTGAAGAATTTTGTCTGTACAGTAAATAAGATACTGAGGGTGGACTATAGTTAATTGGTTTTGGAGACAACAATAAATCTGATAAATAGCTTTTAGCCAAGTCCTGTGAGAACCGTTCGTTCACTGTAGGAAGCCATCCTGTGCTGCCACAGGCAGAGACAGCAATTTTGGCTGAAAATCAAAGAGATGGTTTAAAAAGTGTATGGGGGCTATAACTACAATGTCTCTCTTTTATACTCAGGAAATAACCTTCCATCTACATTCAACACTATAATGAAAAAAGACACTGATAATATTTGGCATTTATTGCTCAATTAATTTGTTTTTTTGTTTTTTGTTCATAAATTATTGAAATGACGAGGCTCTAAAATGGGCCACAAGTAATTTCACCAACATGTTTCTGCTGACTCCGGGTATAATTAATGTTTTTCAATGTTTTTCAACGTAAAGCTGATATAAAATTTGTGGATGGTGGTAGAGATCAGGGTGACAGTATAGAAACGTTCTAATCTTAAACACTTGGAGTTTGTCACCAACGATAAATCGTCAAAATACCAATAGAAATGTGGAAAGCTGATCAGCAACTGTAAGAAACATTTGATTGAAAGAATTTTTGACATTCAGATTTATTATACCTGTCTCATTTCCAGTCAGAGCCACACTCACCCCCTTCTCTCTTCCTGATAGCAGAGGCTACCACAAATGCTCAGGCTAGTTAGCAAGTTAGCATAAATCAGGATGAACAGTTTTCCTGATATGTTGTCATTAGAACATTGAGCAGTATGTACACGAGCATGACTGACAGCACAGAGACCTTCCTCACGCCTCTGTTTCTGACCGAGAGCTGTGTGTCTCTGTAAAAGACAATAGTAGACATAGTACAACGTGGAGGAGCTTGATTATTTTCAAACATCATCTGCCTCATTTCATACTATCACGACATAGTAATACTTTCAACAAATTACAAAGAACTTTTCTTTATTTATAGAAGTTACATAATGCAGCTTTAAGTACATCTGATGGCTCCATGGTTACCTTAGCTTTGTTTCTTACTTTTCTTCCAGTGCTAGTCTAGTCTTCACTGAAAGTAACCACTGAAAACAATTTCAAAAAAATGTGTGTTTTACATATATACTTTTTTGGGGAGCTACATTTGCTATGACAATTTGTGTTTGTGGATGTCTGTTTTTATCACTTGAGTATGTATACATGTCATTTTCTGAGAAAAT